TCTTCCTTTGAAACTGGAGCCATGGGAGCTTGTCTGAAAGATCGCTCCACCGTGGGTCGGCGGCGGCCAAAATTCACGGATGTTACTCCTCTGATAGATGACCAGTGAAAGCAGAGCTATGGCAATTAAAACGTTATGTGGCGGCTTCCATATTTGTGTAGGAAGTTAACAACTGCAGGGCACAGAACCAAGGTTCTTGTACTTTTCTTTAGGCCCAAAGTTGTCTCTGACATTTCTTGTTCTGACAGAGCAAGACAAAGTTGCATTTCATTCCATAAAGATAGCATGCAACTTGCCACATCTGTCAGGAAAGTAAAAATAAAGTTGTGTTTTGCTTTTAAAGAAGTACTGAAACAGTTATTTAAAAGAAGGAACGAGTGAACATCACATGGAGACACAGCCTCTTGGTCCTGTGATGATATAAGGATGGATATAATTTGTTAAAAAAACCAAACAACCAAATAAAGCCTCTTGTGACCACGTGTATGTGATGGTAGGTTTTCAGGGGTGGAAGAAGAATATTTGTTATTTATCTTGAAAAACTAATCAGGGATCATAACTCTTCTCTAAGATGTTTAACTCAGAAGTCAGGAGCACACTCCAGTGATGCCTTCCCTTTTGCGTGTGCTATTTATATCCGAAGATATCTGCCTGAGGTCATAATTAATAATTAAACTACAATGTGTTTAATCAACTGGCAGGATTACCCAGTATATTGGAAACATCTTTTTTCTTGTATTTTTTTAAGCCTTAGCAAACGAACTTATGTGTGAAAACATGGATGAAAGCTCTTATCATCAAAAAAGGAGCTCTGAACTCAGTCATCCTGAACTCCCTATTGTGTATATTTAAAGATGTATCTCAGCAATTTTCTTTACTACAAATACTTTGAAATTTCCCTGCCACCGACCTTCTATCAGTGTATAAAACAAGAAAGCAGATGACATAGTAAGGTACTGCAGATTTACCAGAACCAAATTGACTTTTCTTGAGGCATCCTCTATACACTTTGCACTCCTAAAGTTTTAAACAGTAGGATTTGTCTTTTGACTTATGCTTTTAGCACTTGCTTCAAAGAAGGAAAATTACATGGATCTCCAGGTAAGATGTGCTGCCTTGCAGGACAAGTGTGGGTCTGTAACCTCCACCGGGCACAATCCTCTGAAGACAGTGCAGCTTGCTGTGCAGCAGGGACAGAAGGCTGCTGACACTGGGGAGACTGAAGTTTATGCAGTGCCATGTTTTAATTAGCCTTTCTGTGTTTACAACCTTTTCAAAGGATGTGAATGGTGGGTGTGCGGGTCTACCCTGTCCACATCCTACTCACAGCTGCAAAACAATGAAAAGTTAAGGCTTTGCCAAGACATGGCAGAGGGATACTTTGGCTTATGCAAGTCTGGCTCCCGGTCTGCTGAAGCTTGTGTCTACCCTCAAACTTTATGTAGCATCAGTCTAATGCTCGGTTTCAGATTTTGGAAGCTCTCTACCAGGAGGCCAAGCCACGTGCAGGACCGATGTTGGTATGCTAAAGAAAGATACAGTGGTTTTGATGCACAGAATCACGCTGGCTAAGCTGTTCCTGAGATAAGACAGCAGCAGGCATATTGCTATGGGAATGAAAGACTCCAGACTGCTGTGGCGATAAGGAGGTTACATTAACAACAATGTTTAATTTAGGCCAGCACACTCATACACCACCACTTGCAAAGAACGGTGATGTTAAATGGACTGCCCACTTGATGGCAGTATCGGTCTGTACGCACTGAATTTCCCTGTTCTCTGAGCTGGAAAGAAAGGCAAGTAAAGACATCAAGGATTGTCTTACCTCCTCCCTCATCTTCTTAACTGTCTCACCTTTCTGTTAAAGAAACAGAAAAAAAAAAAAATTAGCCTGGGCTGATGAAGTGAACTGATATACAATATTTTGACATGAAAATAAAGAGAGAAAGTAATTTCCTGACCTTTCCGATAATGCTTCCAACCTCCTGAAACAGAAAAAGAAGACACTGTGAATGATACGATTTGCTACAGAAGAGCATTTGCTCTGCTCCTAAGCTATTTCACTATCACTTATTTCAAACCTGCAATATGAAGTGTAGCCCGCTTCCATTGTTGCTGTATACAAATATGCCATGTTAGATACAAAGGGGCGGACTAAAAATGCGGCTTTGCAACTTACTGATTGTGCAAGAAAAATACCTTTAACAGAAACTGATCTTGCGATTACAGATCAATCCCGCTACTATAAACACAGATAAACCCATATCAGTAATGAAAGGTTCAAAAATAATAGAACTGCACAACCTGCTAGAGAAAATGGGATATAATACAAGCATCAAAATAATTGCTGGTCTCTCTGAGGGCAGGCATTTACCCTCTTTACACCCTGTAATAGCTAGAGCTGAATTTCCATGCTACTGAGTGTTATTGCATAAACACCTGGTGGCCTGTCTTAATCTCCCTATTAAGCACTTACAGAACAATAATTGGTAATCACTTTTTAGGGATTTGGGAATTGCTACTGGACTCCCACAACCTTCCATGAAGGGACAGAAGATACTAAGAAATGTCAGTGTGAACATACAATGGGGAACAATTTGGCAGTTCTGGCAACAACCCAAGGGTTAAAAACTCGGTGCATAAAACCAACAGGTAGCAAAAAATGAAGCTAATAACTCTGAAATGAATACGTTACACAAATCATGCAGGTGTGACATCAGACTGAAAATCATCTGATGGAGAGGAGACCAGCTACAGGAAAACAAACTCCTCTCCTATACTCAGATTGTGAAATCTACTTCAATGGTTAAAGACTGTCTCACATGACTGATCTGTCCCAGACGTATGATATACAGTTTCCCCTCCCTCGCCCAGTCTATATACTTAAGTCTGACCCATCCTGAAACACAGTCCAAAGAGTAAGATTTAAGAAATTGTCCTCCATTGCTCTATCCAGTGATGGACTCATGATAAAGTGGTACTAACTTCACCCTGCAGTAGAGGACTATCTGTAGCGACCTCGAGAGAGCTATTTCTCGCCAGAATGTTATTTATAAGCTCATAATATGAAGCTGCTTGTGCTTGCAACTTCTCACATCCCGCTCACAAGATGTAAAGTCCTTTCAGTGAGAAGACAACCTATCTCAATGAAGAACTTTGTCATATGGTTCCTTTGCACTCTCTGCAAGTCTGCACATAACACCAGACTGGGGGCAACAGTCAATACACCGCTGGAGTATTGACTATTTGGAGTCAATACTGCTGTATTGACTGTCAATAGTCAAGGCTGCTATTTGGAGTCACCTAGACAGGCTGGAGAAATGGGCTGAGAGAAACCTCAGGGAGTACAAAAAAGTCAAATGAAAAGTCTGGGATGGAACAAGCCCATGCAGCAGGACAGGCTGGGCAAAAACTTGCTACATGCAAACAGGCTTTGCAGAAAAAGTCCTGAGGGTCCCAATGCACAACTCCAACATAAGTACATGAGTGCATCCGCAGTGCATCCCTGATCAACCAAATGCTGGGCTGTATTAGCAAGAGTGTAGCCAGCAGGCTGGGGCAAATGATTCTTGCCTTCTCCTTGTGTTTGTGAGACCATGCCTGGAGGATTGTTTTGGGCTCCTAGTATGAGACAGACAAGGACACACTGAAGTGAATCTAATGCAGGGCCAACAAGATGGTCAGGGGACCGGAGCACAGGACACATGAGGAGAGGCTGAGAGAACTGCGTTTGTTCACCCTTAGGAAGAGAAGACTTGGGAGGATCTTATTGCAGTATGTAATAAGGAAAGCAAGTTGCAACATCAAATTCCTATTCAATATGAGGAAAAAATTTTTTACCATGGGGATGGCTGGACATTGGAACAGGCACCAAGAGAAGCTGTGGAGTCCCCATCCTTGAAGGTGTCCAAACCCATCCTAGGCAAGGCCCTGAGCAACCTGCTCCAATGGGATCTGCTTGATTCAGGAGGTCAGACTGGAGACCTTTGGGGGTGCCTTCCAATCTCCATGGGTCTCTGATTCTTCAAGCATGGCCTTATATCCACTGAAGTCAGTGCCTAACTAGCCACAAAGTTCCTCAACCTAGTGAGGCCCCTTCTCAGGTTTATTTTCAAAATTTACTTTTTCTGTTTCCCATTTCCCTTTTTTTATTTCCCTTCCTACTTCTCTTCCAAGATGGGATTCTGCTCTCTTGTACACGCTGACCAGAGAACAGGTATGGTCCAGACAGACATTGCAAATCTTCCAGAGGTATCTGCTTTGCAAACCTATAGTTCTGCTGGCTGATGTACAGTAGATCTTTACACGTCACACAGCTGTGCGACTGTTCTTGCTAAAGCTTCCTGTGTCCATCTGGGACTGTGAGACGTCTGTTCATCTGCACATACAATGCAAAGAAGCAGCTCTGTGAGAAGAGGAATGAATGAAGCAGACTCGCTGCAGTTTTGTGTCTTGTGACCAAATTATCCTGTGTCTCTCAATACGTGGGTTTAGGTCACGTCTTTTCCTGTGGCTGAGACAGCTGTACCAGCATGCTGTGTAGGCTCTCTAATGAAGTGCGGCTTTTTTGTTAGCAGTGACACAAATTTGGGACACCCATTCCACAAAATTTTTAAGATCTTACTATTTTTTTATATTATCATTGTAACTCTGCCAACCTGCTTGTAACTGTTGAAAGGGATTAAACAATACAGGGAGTAAGACTCTCAACGATGAGAGCCTTGGGAACCCCTGTCCTGGTTTCGGGGTTAAACCACGACACCCCTCATGTCTAGTAGTTCCTATCTGCCCACTCAGCACATTCAGCAGTTTTATCTTGAAAACTATTTCCATTCTTCTCAGTCCCAGCTTTCAGAAGTAATTTCTTTCGTAAAACAGATTCTTAGGATGTAGAAGGACCTTTTGCTATGTGTGAGCATATTGTGTTTCAATTGCTATGGGCAAGTAATTGTATTTCAGCCTATGGTATAATTTCAGTTTTTGTATATCTGAAGTTTCATTAGAAGCTGTAGGCCTGGTCTTGAACCCGCAAGGCTCTGCCAGTATAGACTTAGTATGAAATCTGCCCCAATCCACTTGATCATCCTGGGTCTTAATGACAGATGCTGTTCTTTCCGAAATGTATGGATGGGTCATGGCTAATAAGTACAAAGATATCTTCCTTGGAAACAGGAACAGATACCTTTGCTTTGGAAACAGAAAAGCAATATACTGTTTGTAGCCCTAGTAAAAAAGATGGTCCATTTCAAAGGGGGAAATTGGGAGTTTTTAAACAAGCAGAGTAGAGCATTAAAATATTAGGATTCTCAAGCTGCTTGTTCCACTGAAGTCTGTGGGAATTTTGCTATTGATTTCAGTGGGGACAGGAATTCTACCTGACTGATCATCACCTTGTTATTACCAAACAGTACAAGCTGCCGAAGAACTGAGCAAATGAACAGTGTGAATCCCACTGAGAAAAAATATTTCAATGAGACTGGTGACCAGTTCCTTGGAACGTGCCAGCAAATGTCACTGTAATGCTATGGAATACTTCAAACCTTCCCCTCCTCAAAGGGTGAATTTAAAGCTTATTCTATAAGGAGACAGTTTCAAAACATCCAAGCAAAAGCCACATCTCCCCCTGCACTGGGAGCTGGGATTCTGCTTGGAAATGTGAGGGAAGGGTGCAGGGGGAGAGAGAAACATTAACTTCACATGGATATCCCTAATTTTTCCAGAATTCTTGATTCATAAAAATTAGTAAAAAAAATTTAAAATCTAGAATGGTTCTAAATGGGTCACTTCAGACTTTTTTGGGGCCTTAGCTGTTTCTAGGAAAGCTCCCATAAGTACTGGTGACAACAGATCATGTCTTTAATTATGATGAGAAACCTACCTCAGCCACAGATTAAATCAGAAGACTCTTTGCACCTCATTCTCCAAACTACCAATGCTACTTCATCAAACCTTTAATGTTTCTTTACAAAATCCAATATTTGTTTCATATAGATTCTTATATCACCCTAAATTACTTTTAGTGCTTAATGAGATACCTAACATCAATTTTATGACACTCAAGTTTTATCAATATTTCTAGCCAAGGTTACTTTGAGGGCTTTATCTTCTTCAGAAAATGTTTCTAAAGCTGCCAGGCACCAAACCGTGCTGCAGTTAACTGCATAAGACTGAAGGGATGGGATGTCTGTCACCTACATCAGTTCATTAAAAGTTAGGAGTCTAGTGTAAGGCAGGCGCACAGCCTCCTCTGCAGTCCGGGGAGAGAAGATAATGGAGGACGTTTTGTTCTTAAAAGAGGAGGGAAGAAGTGCACTCCCAAGGGTTTAGTCTTTCTCCATCTGCAGTAGAAGAAGCCTAGACTGACACTAACATAGCTGAAGTTTGGTGGGAGGAATCCTACAGCTGATGTCAAATTCAGCCTCAGTGCAGGTCAGACAGGAGTTTGATATTGCTGTCCTAGCAAATAATTACCTATTAGAATATACTAATAACTCCTGAACTATTTGCTGTTTTCCAGTGCTCAGGAATATAAGCTAAAGGTAAGTATTTATGGTCAGTTTCAGATTGATTTATTGACTAACCCTCTACGCATAAACACAGTGGGAAAATAAGTTGTATGATAACAATTACTGGGTTTCATATAATCACATTTCAACAGCTGATCGAAAAGCAGTGCACTAAAAAAAGGAAATTATAAATATCGGAACTAAAGCTCAGAGGGAGAAAGAAAGGTCCAGGGCAACCCAGCAGACTGATGCCAGAGCTAGAAGTACTACCCAAGCTCCTTGGCCTCAACATTTAAACACCCACCTGTCAGAAGCAGATACACCACAGCAGCCGTGCTGGACGAATAGGATGCCTCCTAAAAGCTGCAAGTGCGTGTGTGCCTACATCCACTGATACATATGCATACACACACGCATACATTTATATATTTGTGTGCGAAGTCAATATATACATACAGGCACCAAAGAGATAAATATGA